CCAGGAGAAAAGTGGGAAAAGGCAACACTAGCAAGAAGAATAAGATCTATTAAAAAAAAGCTTTGGGCTGCTGCCTACGCAGAAGTACTAAAAATACGCTCATTTCTGAGACCACCCGTATTTCAGAACCGCTAAAAGACTAAATTCTTCTCATAAAAATTTGAAAAAAATAAATAAATTTAAAACCCACTTGTAGCAACTCACTCATCTTCCGCAAACCTTTAAAAAAACCCCAACCACTGCACATGGGCTGAGGCGGGTTCTCCTCGCCCTTTGCTGGGCTGAATTTCAGCATCCCAGCCCCGAGAGATTGCGGACACGTCAGTCGTGCTCGCAGGGAGGGCAGCGTCCACGCTGCCCTGGCTGAGCCCCGGGACAGGGACCTAAAGCTTTGGGGTCACTCTAAGCTGGTACGTGACACACTGACTCTGCTGTTGAGGCCTGGAATTAGGAAAGGGGCATCCAGTGGCCAGATGGATGATGTGTGTACGTTAAAAAATTAAAACCCGTCCTAATCGCTGCTAAAATCTGCCTAATCCCAGCCCCAGAAGTGAGGGGAAGCCATGGCATACAGAAAGTGCAGATGCGGAGTCAGCGCCGGGCTCCGTGGGGACCCATTGGGACAAAAATGGAGCGTTGGGCTGGAAACACAAGAGACGTTGTTTGTGCTCACTCCAAAGCCCACTCGGCCAACCACTGCTCACACCGGGCTCGCTGCTCCTCTGTCTCCGGGCTCTTGGCTTTGCTCGGTGCCTCTTCTCCCCCGCCACCAGCTTCCTCACTCTCCTCCTCCTCCTGCTTCTTCACCGTCTTGTCCTTCAGCTCCTGGATGGTCTCGTCCAGCTGGTGAACGACCTGGTGGGGCACCCAGTTGCTGTCCATGGCAGTGACGAAGGGGTCGGGGGCGCAGACCTCGATGAGCTCCTTGCCGGTGGGGATGCGCAGGTAGTAGGCGTGGAGCATCATGCGGTAGGGGCTGCTGTCCTTTTTTTTCCCCCACGACGGGGTGGCCGATGGCGCTGCAGTGAACCCGAAGCTGATGAGTCCGCCCTAGGGGGAGAACGGGAGTGCAGGAATCGGGGGGGGACACAACAGGTTATCCCTGAATTCCTCCTTGAGTGCACCAAACGGTGTTTGTCCCCCCAGTCAGAGAATCCTCTGAGGTCGGCGGCTCTTGGCTCTCCTCAGCCCTTTCATAGAATTGTAGAACGGCTTGAGTTGGAAAGGACCTTAAAAACCATCTAGTTCCAATCCCCCTTCCATGGCAGAGATACCTTCCACTGGACCAGGTTTCTCAAAATCCCATCCAACCTGGCCTCGAACACATTGATGGAGTAGGCATCCACAACTCTGGGCAACCTGTTCTAGTGTCTTACCATCCTGACCATAAAAAATGTCTTCCTTATGTCCAATCTAAACCCACCTTTTTTCAGTTTAAAACCATTGCCTCTTGTCCTGTCACTACAAGCCTGGTAGCAGGTCTCTCTTGATTGTTCTTCCTCTTCAGGCACTGGAAGGCCACTACAAGGTCTCCCCAGAGCTTTCTTTTCTCCAGCTGAACAGCCCCAACTCCCTCAGCCTGTCCTTGTAGAAGAGCTGCTCCAGGCCCCTGAGCACCTCTGCGACCCTCCTCTGGACCCTCTCCAACAGATTCGTGCCCTTCTTGTGTTGGGGACTCCAGAGCTGGATGCAGCCTTTCTAAGGCTTCGCTTTGCACCATGTGCCCACGGCTGCGAGCACTGGTCCCTTTGTGCGTCCTTCACCTGTCCAATCTCAGCATCTCGCACCGTTGGGGACCAGCACTGAGCTGTCCCCAGCCCTGGGGGCCACATCCAACCCCCTGTGTCACCCCAGCCCCCAGCTCCCACCTGTCAGCGGCTGCAGCAACACTTTGGTGACGGGGTCTCCGCTGTAGGACCCGTGCTCGAGCACGATCAGCTCCGACTGGCAAGGCTTGGGATTTTCACAGCCTGCAACGAGATCCAGAGAGGGGATCAGCTACTCCGTGGTAGCCTGGGCAGTCTGGGCAGTGCGAGGAGGGCACG